AAATATTTTCTTTGTGGTTTTTATCGATTGTTACCTTTCCCTAGCCCCTCCCTCTTCCTCTACTTCACCGTAGTAATTTTATTTAATGACATTTAATTGGAAAGTACTTTACCTTTGCTGGGACTCGAACCTCGGTCATCCGAGTTAGGAACCCGTCGCCTTCACCACTAGACCACGAGTTCGCCGGTAAGGGGACCGTGTCCGATACCGGGGTCCCTCCTCGGCCAGCCTCGAGGCTCTACCGGCCAGAAGATTATAACCGACGAACCGCGAGCGACCTGAAAGCGTACTGAAGTCCCCCTCTTCGCGACGCGAGCACACATAAAGTGAACAAATTATTTTGCGGCGGGCACTGACTGACAATGTTCTGCTTTGTGCGAAGCTGCGTACAACTGTCCACAAACATAACCTACGTACAAAATTTGTTCGTAACTATGTACAACATTCTCCGTAATTATGCATAATATCGCTTAAAATTGTGCGTACATTACGTATGTGCATAGTTGTACGGAGGCATGCGTCCTCTCTCTACGAGTGCGTCCTCTCTGCGACTTCAACTCGTATGTAGACTGACGTGGGCGCTGTGTCCAGCTACCAAAGTGTGCAGTGTGCAGTGCAGAGGAGCCGTCGTTCTCCTCTTCTGCTCTCAAGTGCGCCGGTCTAGGGATTAGCGCTAGCCCCCGGCCGGGGTTTCCAGGGAAGGAAAATACCCCGACTACCCGGGGCTCTCCAGGTGAACCGAAAGCGTACTGAGGTCGCTCTGGTCGTCTCGGAGCGACTTGAAAACATACTCAGGTCGCTCGTCCGCGCATGGAGCGACTCGATGACAGACAAAGGTCGCTCCGGCGCGAACCTCCGGCTAATCTTGGCGATACGTCGCCCAGGACCCTGACGAACCTCGGCGACCCATCGGCGCACCGAGCGCGACCCTCCGCGAACCGATAGCGTACCGAAAGCATACCCAAAGCAAACAAATCTTTTTGCGTCGGGTTACCCCCCAAGTCGAACCAACGACTCGAAGCCAGCTCCGGCCCAACCCTCTGGGACACCCAAACGTTTTGTGTTTGGCACGAGGTTTGGCAGTGTGGATCAAACACTGTTTCAATTAATTAATGGAAACGATTTTATGCTGGAAAAGGGAAGTTAGGTACACTTAAAGCCTACTTTGTTATGAAGAGTTGCGAGGAGGATGAATGCCTAGTAATTACAAAGCAATTGCTAGCGCTGTAAACTGGTTGGCGTCTTTTAGTGCAAAAACATTGGCATTCTTTGAAGAACGAAGGAATTGCTTGTTAAAATTCTGTAATTTTTTGAACAGTGTGTCGGCGGGCCGGCCGCGCACAAACGTCCGCGTCTTCGATGCCTTTCACGGCTGCGTTCCTTTGCTGCCCATAGCGACCCCTTAGACGGGCCGTTTTCTTATTCCCTTCCCCCACTTAGTCTACCCCCACCCCCATCCCCCTCTTTTACTTTCTCGGTTTGTGCGTTGCTCGGGGGGCCGGTTTCCGCTCGCTGCTGCTGTAGGCTTTTTTAAGGGCTGCAAACATGGTATCCCAGTGGGTTGCCCCGTTTGAAAACTGTCCTTGTCGTTCTAGAGGGGGGAGGGGGGGGCAGAGCGAGACTGCAGAGGGCTGAGTGGGAAAGGGAGCGAAGGGGGCGGGTGGATGTGGTGGCAAGAAGGAGTGACTACGAGAGAGGGCGCGGTTGCTCTGTACGGAAGGTAATCGAATTAAAAAACACGAGTCAGGGGCGGTCCGCCCCCGCCGCCGCCCTCCGCACGGCTAATTGCCACGGTCACGCGTTCTTAAAGAAGGTCGCTGTCGCGCAAACAAAAACATCATCCGGTTAAGTATACCAGGAAGGTATTCCTGCTCTATAGCTCTAGTCTCTGTTTAGTCGCGATACAGGAGGCGGTTGATTCGTACTCGACTCGGGAAGGTTATCATCGTCTTTTGTCTCGCGACCCACTGACCCGCATTTCCCAACGCGCACCATCGCCTCTTCTTTTCCTTCTCATTTCTTTATTTTTTTTCAGTCCTTACGGGACTACTGGGGTCCCATTTTTATTTCCCCCTCGGTAACGGTATTTCCTCGTCGTGTAACGCAATTATCGAGGGGCATACCGAGGGAGGGAGGTGGGGGGGGGGAGCAGCCGTGCTTATTCCTTATCTCGTAATGAAGCCAGCCCGTCGCCTGTCTTGTTATCGCGGCCGAGGGGGAGGCTCCGACCGGCGAACGACATGACGACCGGCGGTATGACCACCAGCACCATAGGGTATGATCAGCAGTCTCAAGGATTGTACTGTCAGAGAGGAGGACACTGCGCCTCGGGAAGCAAACCAAAATCGACCAAAAACACCTGAACTCTACGTTTGTTAAACACCGTGCAATGGGCAAAATCGCGAGTTGCAGACTTAAGTGTTTGATATTTGCAAATTTGTTTTACCAGTGTAGCCCCCCCCCCCTGGAAAGGCACGACTTACAATTAGCACGCTTGTTTATACATACCCGGCGCCAGCGTCGTAGGCGTTTTGATATTGCGAATCTTTATTTTTGCCGAGCTCCCCCATGCGGTGCGGTTGTTGTTGCTGTTGTGCCTGCGCCTATGTTGACCGGGGCGGCGCGGCGCGTCGCCTCTCGCCCCCTCCCTATCTCCCCCCCCCCCCCACCTTTTGTTGCTAATGTCGCCGCCTTGTAGTCACAATGCTGTTTTCCCCCCTCCCCCGCGCCCCTTTTGTGTGACGCCAGCACCTCCCGGGGGCCCTCCCTGCTGGGTCTGGTCTACTGTCTAATTTCCGACTGTGCCTTGTGCATATTCAGCCCCGACTCCCTCCCTCCCCTCCCCTCCTCCGCCCACCAACGCCCTGTGCGTGCGGAGCGCGCGGCAGAACGAAATGATTGTGGCAGGCGGTGACAGCTGTCTGGGCGCCCCGCCGCGCCCGCCCGCGCCCGCCGCGCAGGGAAGGCCCAGCCCACCTACCCCGAGCCACCCCCTCCAGTCCTCATTAGGCCGTGACTCGGCGGACTCACGAAACAAGACTCTTTGTCTCGCCGCGAGAAGCCCGGCCCCGCCCACCCTCTCTCCCTTCTCATGTCTCTCTCTCTTCCTCTCTCTCTCTTTTGCTCCCCCTTCTCTCTCGCTCTAATATAAATCAGGCCGCAAGACTTTGATTCGAGCGGCGCCAAGTTCTTCTTCCCCTCCCCGCCTCGCTGAGTGACACCTCGAGCAACACGTTGTGGCGGCTCGCGGCCGACTGCCTCCGTGGTGGAGGGGAGGGGGGGGGGCGGCTGTCATTTAATGCTGAAAGGTGTCCCCGCGCGTGGCTCTAGCCTGTCCAGCCCACACGGTTTCGCTCCCCGAGACCTCTCGCCGACCGCATCGCACCCACCCCTACTCTCATCCCCCAGTCAAGCCTCAGCCCCAACAACCCCCTCCCCCCCTCTCCCGCCACGACCGCTCGCCTTTAAACTGCGGCATTTACTCTCTTTGGTTCGCTGCGGCCCCTTTCGAGTGGCCATCGCCCGGGAAGCCGGCGGCAGCCGGACCCCAGGGGACTAGGGGCGCAGACGAATGCTCTCTTCCCCCCCTCCTCCCCCGCCTCTCCCCTTGTCGGAAAAAAACTTTATCACGCGGGGGAAATTATGTGCTTAGGAAATAAGCTGTAAGCCGCATACATTTTGCTGGGGTGGCTTGTCTGGAACAGTATGACAGCGGGGCAATTTCGATCACCGCCCTCTGTACTTGTTTTTTTGGCCGGTTGTACCCGCGGTCCTCCAGCCAGCCGACGGTGGTGGGAGTACCCCTTGATGAATGGGTTCTGGCGCACCCCGCTGGGGCCCTGGCTCTGCCGGGCTCTGCCGGGCTCTACCCCTCTGCCCGGGCCGGCTCTACCCTGGCTGCCCCCGACCGCTCGCAACAGCGTCCAGCCGGGTCCCTTCCCGGCCCGTCGGCTACTCTGCCGGAATGATAAGTTTCAGAGTGGTGAAGGTTGTTTTTGGTGGACGTGGTCGTTGCTGAGCTCCGGGCCGGCGGCTAGGGAAACGTATCGAGTCTCTCCTCTCGCCGAAATTCTAAAAATATATGGAGTTGGTTTAGATCAGTGCAAACCCTTGAGTGCGTGGTTTTAGTATTTTATGCTCGAAATGAGTGAGACAATTTTTTGTCACCCGATCAAAGCTAGGCCTTTAGGCTAGACCTATATTTGAATCCTCTATTCAACGAATTATTTATCTGAGAGAGTGAGATTTTTCTGGCCTCGACCATTTGGAGAACCATCCACATTTGATGAGTCAATACCGTCTGTTATGACTCAAATAGAATGATAAAAGATAATTTCGCTCCCCAGAGAGAGAATTTTTGGGGTCACCGATCTCATTTTTCTTGGAGCAATAAGTCTTGACTTAAGAATTTACAGTGGCCCTGGGTCGTCATTGATAGGCCGCTCCTGATGTTTGGCCCTGCTGGTGGTGGCCCCAGGTGGTGGCCCCTGGTGGCCCCGCTGGTGGGCTGGTGGTCATGGGGTGCCCTTCCATGCCCCCTGGCCGCTGCCCCGGTAGGCCCGCCAGCCAGGCCGGGCCGCGCGCTCCACAAGTGGGAGGGAGCCCCCCGCGGCCCCCGCGGCCCCCGCAGCCGCGCTGGCGGCGCTGGCTCTGGCCGCACGGTAGACGCCGCAGTCAGTAGCGCCGGAGCTCTTTGCCGTGTCGGTCGGGTCGCTCCTGCCGCTCCCCCTTCCTCCACCCCTCCCCTCCTCCTCTCTCTCAGCCCGTGCGCGTGCGTGCGTCCACTCGTGCGTGCCCTCGCGCGTGCGTTGCGGTGGGCCATGGGCGGCGTGCCGTCGGGTGTCTGCGTGGCGGCCGGCCGGCGCCGTGTCGGCCCCCGTGTGTGAGTGTGTGCGTGTGTGTGTTTGTGCTTGAGCGTGTCTGTGTGCCAGAGGATACCACGCCGCAGGATGTCTCCGGACAGGACCCGCTTCCTCATCCTCGCCGTCATGCTCCTGACAGGTAGGAAACGACACTGAGGATCCATCATGTCTCTGGGTAAAGAAAGGTTGCAATCGCTAAGGACATATTGACAACCCTCCCTTTTCTCTTTATATCTGTTGGACGTGAAATCTTCTGTGCACTTCTTCGGCATTCCCTCCTGATCTCTGTCACACGTATCGGACAGTCTCGGTGTTGTCTGGTTCTTGAAATTGGAAGTGCATGCATCGATTTTAAAAGTGCGCTAGTGCGCTTATTTCGGAGTGGTGGTCCGTGTGACATTGACATTGAAACGTGGGGAATTACGTTTTCCTTTACACGGTAGTAGATAATGATTACTCCACTGGAAAAACTAATGTTACCAAGGTAACGTTTTATCATGTGACCAAGCCTGGTAACGTTTCCTGATGCAACCTACCCAATGCAAAAGGATAGGGCCATCACAAACTGGTTGCATCACCAAACGTTACCTGGTTTAAGGGTTTCGTGCCTTAAAAAAGGCACTACAACTTTCTAAAGGCACTAATTTTTAGCACCTTTAGGGCTCTTTAGTGCCTTTACAAGGGCACTAAACTCAGGCTTTGGTTAGTGCCCCATAAAAGGCACGACTTAGCACCTTTGTTTTTCCTGTGCACTAGTTCATGTTTTCACCGAGTGTTTTCCTAACGAACGATGGCCGTTTATCTTACCGAAAAGTGTTATTCGTATATTTGTTTTCGTTAACGTCTTCTGGAACATTACCCTTTCCCTCTTATATAAACACAGATTTACTCGGAAGGTCACGTAAGTAACCTTAACAGGCCCATTCGCCCGCCGGCGGTGAAATGACGTCACTGGAGTCGCCCTGATATTCAACGCTCTTCTCCTCTTGTCTCTCACCGCTTCTTTTGTCAGTTTTATTTTACAGCGGCAATGTTCAAGTAAATAGAAAAGAAACGCGATACCTCTCACTTCACCAAAGGGAAAAAAGTGAAGAATAAGGGCAGGGAAAGGAAATGAGGAAGAATCGATAGGCATCTTGTGCCATTCAGTGTGCTATCCTGATGCCTTTGAGCCTCCCTGCTCTTCTCTCCGAGGGGGAAATGCAAATGGAGCTAAGAAACACTGTGCCGTGCGTTACCGGTGCGAGCCGAGCCGTGTTCCCTAGGGCGGAAAACGATGTCTCGAACAACCTCGTCATCCTCTTCTGTTTCCCTCCGTCTGCCTCGCCCGCCGCCTCTCCGCGGCCATCACATCACTTGGGGAGGTGAGACGTTTCTCAGCGTCTGCGTCTGCGACACAAAGTGACACGTGTCAGATCGGGCCAGGGGCAAAGGTGGCGTTATCTAGGGCGCGTGACACAGTGCTTGTTTTAGACTTTTAATTAATTATTACTAGAAGCGTGTGTTTTGTGCGCTACAAATAGAAATGTGTGTTGCACCCGCAAACACCAAAACGTGCGTGTCCTATGAATGTTACTGATAGAGTCGCGTGTGACCATTGCGCCAAATGCATAGAAAAGTGTGTGATAGCTGACAGCAATGTCAGCTACAGAAAAGTGTTGGCAAACGAATAAGAATACAGCAACATTGTGCGACATTATCGCACAGTCTCCTAGTGTGTGAAATAGTTGTCGCATAGTTTCTGTGTGAACAATTTTTGACATTGGCTCAAGATTTCAGATTTTACATACGTAATACGTACTTGTAGACAGAGTGAAGACGAATAAGACTTCCCCATAGGACAGTTGGTACCCCCCCTCCCTCCGCCCTTTAAATACTCATGGCAGCGTAGACTTGTTTGCCACACCCCGGGGGTGTGCTCGCGTGCTGTGCTGCGCAGTGCTGCCGCTGCAACCCTCTGCCGTCACGCGTGTTGTCCCGTTTGCAATCTATCGCCGGCAGCCAACAAATGGGGCCGGGGAGTAAACAAGCAGCCGCCCGCACCCTCCCCCCTCCCCCCGCGCGAGGGCCGACAAATGGGCTGCAAGTCTGAACGGCTTCTTCTCGCCTGCCGCGCCGGGCCGGACCGCTCACTCCGGCCACCGCGCCGGGACGGGCAACCGCAGGACTGTGAGGCGCAGCAGGGCGAGACGCACCGCAGCAGGGAAGGCGCGCACACACACATGGCCCCGCTCCGCCCCGCCCCATCCTGCCACACCCCGACCATGCGCCCCACCCCTCCCCGCCACGTCCTGCGGCGCTAGCGAAGGGGGAATTAAGGAGTTTAGCTCTGAAATAACGCGCCCGCACAGGATAGTGCGGCAGTGGCAGTGGGGGATGGATACGGACCTCTCGCGCCCCGCTAAAGGAAATGTTTACTCTTTGAGATTGAAACCGCTTTTGGGTGGACGCTCCAGTATGACGCCCATCTTGATCGCCCCAGAGCCATTACCGAGGCCTACATCGACCCCGGAAAATTTCCGGGGGCGTTGGGGTGCTTTCCATTTAAACCGGGAGTGAAATAGAACAAGCACACAAATCTGTCTGTTCCCGCTAAAGCAGTGTGGGAAAGCATGTATGCACTCTTAAAAATTACGGTGAGTCTCACCGTAAGCTACAGCGAACAGCTGCAGCACTGTAGCTTACGGCCTATTTTCACCGTTTAACATTGCGTTTAGCATTTAACAGTGTGAGGGGGTGAGACCTCTGATGATTTCGGGGCCATTTGGTTTCCTCTTCTACCCCGATTGGTTGTAAGTACACCTACGGTGAACACTGCGTAACCTGCTGATTTTCTAGTGCGGCTGGTGACGACGTTCTTACCAACGATGGTAGACAATTTTACTGGGGCCCATAGCTAGTTATCCATGATCAAGTACATTAATGAGGAAATGGAAATTAAATTTGCATTAGGGTCAAGTAAATTTTCTCTATCTACGGCGCTTCTGGGTGTGAAATAGACTGGCATAGCTGGCATACTCAATGTTTCGTTCTCGTTCCGTCCCGGCACGAGAGTGGGAGTGCCGCTATCAATAAATAGGTGACACTTCTATGCATAAATAAACTGCCTATGTGTGTCAGGTCAAGGTAACGCCTGGAGTACACTAGTCACGCCGGTGACCCTCTTCGGTAAAAATCAGA